TACAATTCTTATCACAATCCATACATACATCCATTGTGTCAAGCATATTTGTACATTTGTTGCCATCATCATTCTCAAAACATTTGCTTTCTACTTGAGCCCTGGTCCGTTATCTTTTTTTAAAATGATTTTATTAGAGGCTCATACAACTCTTATCACAATCCATACATACATCAATTGTGCAAAGCACATTTGTACATTCATTGCCCTCATCATTCTCAAAACATTTGCTCTCCACTTTTCAAATATCCTTATGAACATCTGACTTTCCAGATACCAGTATTCCTTTTATACTTTTTTGGCCTACTTCTTGTTTTCCCCTGAGGTAGCTGCTGTGAAAAACAATTGCCACTGGATGTTTTTGACAAAAGCCCTGAGGGTAAGGCTTTTCCCCAATGAGTTAGTTCTAACCCACCAAAACCCACCTTCATCAAGTTGATTCAGACTCATAGCAACTTCTAAATCAGGTCAAATAAGGACAAGTCATGCAAACAGAGCCTTTTCAGGGAGCTTAATAAGTTAAATATACACACACATATATTCCTATATACATATATGTACACACATATGTGTGTGTGTATACAGTCAAATACATATATATTTGTGCTAAAATTCAATAATTTCTCCTTGGAATTTTACTGGTATTGATCTTCATGGACTTTTACTAGGCATTGAATGCATTCTTCAGGTTATGCAACCATTCTCTTCTATTTTCACATTTATTGTTTCAACATTGACATCAGCTCACTATACTCTAAGTTTCTCATCTAACTTTTTGTGTTGTTGTCACTTTGATCACATATAGATAATTCTTTCAAAGAACTCAATGCTCAAGGCAAACATTGATTACTGATCAAGCTGGTGGTACAGTGGTTAAGTGCTTGTCTGCTAACTGGAAGACCAGCAGGTGAAGCCCACCAGCTGTGCTAGTTTCTTCCCATAAGCATTACAGTCTTGGAAATCCTAAGGGGCAGTTTTACTTGACTTTGTGCTATAATTTTGCTGCTGTGGGTTGATGAAATTGCCTCAGTGGCAGTGGGATTTTCGTTTTGTTAGGTAGTAGGATGGGGGTGGGGGGGTTGTACCTCTCCATGACTAAAGGCCCCCTACAGGAGGTTAGAAGCCAATGAAGGTGAAGGGTCATGGGCCAATTCATGCACCAGGTGGGTGGTAAATCTAGGTGGGCGGTAAGCCTGAGTTGGCCCAAACTAGGCCAGGTAGGCTTAATTCAGCCAATGGGGTCAACCAGTACTGTCTACCACAGCCAATGAGGTCAACCAGTACTGTTGACCACACCTCCCAGCTGAAAGCCCTAAAGGCCAGAACCTGGAGTCCACTGCCCCCTTTTCCAGGTGTTCCTTGTCCTTCCACTAGGCCGTGCCATGGTCTTTCTGGCC